CTTCTTTCTTTCTTTCCTTCGTTTTTTCCCCTTTCCCCGGACGAGACATATGGAATCAATTTTGAATCCTGACATTGAAGGCTGGCCAATTCCTACTGGCTCTAAAAACCAGAATCCATTTGGTTCCCTTCTCTCCAGCACCCCTTGTCACTCAGTATTATAACCGTCTTGCAACATTTTAAGTCTTTATAAAGAGAAACAGCTTTCCAGACAGATACCAAGGAGTCGGGAGTGGGGGAGGTTTTGGGGGCTTTTTTTTTTTTTTTTTTTTTAAAAAAAAAAAAAAGGGAACGGGCGCACAACCCCCCCTCCCGACACCCCCATCTCATCCCCCTCCGCTCAGTATCTCTCTGCAAAGGGGGCTGCATCCCTGCAATACTTTAAGCTGTTCTGGAAGAGTTTCTATTTTTCTCCACGTCAAGTCAGTTTGAATCGAGCGAGTCCAAAAAAAAAATCAAAGCATCTTTGGGGGAAAAAAAAATCCCAACCGTCTGAGAAAGCTGTCAGCAAGATCCACCGGGGTGCAATAAAGTAGTTTCTTCTCCTTAATTTGCCTGCTCCAGTTGCCAACTCGCACCACCCCGATCCGGCTTCGCTCCTTCTTCTCGAAGTCCTGGGTCGGACAGTATCACAGGTAAGAAGTTAAAAAAAATAAATAAAAGAATGATGCAGCTCTGCCTTTCCTACCTTCTCAGCTCCGACGCTGTGAGATATAATTAATTGCTCCGAAAGCTTTGACAGGCTTCTCCACCGGTCACCGTGAGCTATAGCTGACTTTCTCCTGGTAACAAATTAAGACTGATGCCTCGGGAGGAGGATCGGGGAAGCTGAAGATGAGCAAAAATTATCTCGCAGGGTCCATAACCGAGACCGGCCGCAAACTGCTTCTTTCCAAGTGCGTGTTTCCCCGCGAAGTTTGTCTGGGACACATTTGTTAAAGGTTTAGCACCTCTCTCTTGTTTGAAAAAGAAACTACAAAAGCCCATTGGAAAAGCGGGGTGTTAAACTGAAGAATGTATGTGATGGTGATTTATGGCCCTACAAAGTTTTTTGTTTACTTGAAGCAGACCCTAATTACAAGGGCTTAAAAAAAAAAAAAAAAAAAAAAAAAAAGAAAAAGAAAAAATTCCCAAGCTCTGTCTATGTCCATAGCGGGTTTTCCCTCCCCAGGTCTGGGTCTAGTGGCCAGATGTGACTAACAAACATCTGGTTAGTTGAGCTGCTTTTCCGTTTAGCCGGCCAGTGCGTTTGACCGAAATGGGTAAGACTGAGACTCTTAAACATTTGGCAGAAAAGCGGTGGCTATTGGAGGAGTCCGAGCCTGAAAATATCAGGCTTTTAAAAAGGTTCAAGGTTTGTTTGGGACTGGGGAGGGGATGTCCTCGAAAATGGGTCAGTTCGCTCAAATGCAGTTTCTGGGATTGAGAGGGAAACGGCCGGGAGGGCGAGATTTCGCGTGGGAATATCGGATGCGTTATTTGCTATGGACTTGTGATATTCGTTTCTGGCTCAAAAAAAAAAAAAAAAAAAATCTCCCCTCCATCCTTCTCCGTGAACGCCCGATGTGTATTTTAAGAGCGAGACAGGAAAATCGTTTGTATAGAGGAAAAAGCCTTCAAGAAATCGAATTAAACCTAGAAAGTTTATATTTATTTATTTATTTATTTATTTGTGCTCTCTGCTCTCCTTTGGTTCCTTTCCCTTTAGAGCGAGATAATAACTCGGTCCCCGGGACAAGTTGCCAGTTCTAAAAATGTCCTCATGCATTGTGAAACTGGGAAAGTTTTGACTGTGTCTAATATTTCCCGAGGCGAACTGGTATATTGGCAGAGAGCAAGAGCTCGGATACACAAGCTTTTTTTTTTTTTTTTTTTTTTTTTTTCTCCTGAAAATTGCTTTGCATTAAATTTCCTCAGCTTCGGAATTATCTTTACTCGCCTCCAGCTAAAGTTGAATTTTTTTACCAAGCGCTTGATCTGTTGGTGAATGAAATCTGAGAAGAAACCGCAGGCCCTAAGTGGCCGTAATTTAATTGATTTTATCATAAATCATCAACTTCATGAAGAACCAAAGTTTTCATTGAAGTAAATTGATATTAATGGACACTTTCTGAAATTTAACCATATAGATCTATATGATGGTGGGGCTTCCACTTCTGCTCTTTTGGGACAGAAGATTTTAAAGGGGGCAGGTATTTTTCCACCCTTCCAGTTTTCGTTTCTTCTACCCTCCCTACAAAAATGGACTTTCTTTTTTTCCAGCGTGGGGATTCTGATCCCGAGTGTGGAGGGGGGGAAGCTGAGAGCTCGGCTCCTCTTTGGGGCACCGCAGCAGTGGGTAAATCCAGGAGCACTGAGATGAGGCTTTTTTGGGGGGGGGATGAGCACCAAACAGTTGGGTTTCTTTGGGCTATTCCCTTAGGTAGGTTATCCCCTCTGTCCAGGAGTTTGTTGGGCGTAGGGATGGGATATTTTTGTCAAAACCACACGGGTTGCAGAGAGGTGCGTCCCGGCTCGGCCAGCACCGCCTTGCTCGCATCTGCGTTAAAAATAGAAATAGGATTTAAAACCTCCTCTTCCACCTACGTGTCCTCTGCTGTGTTAAACACTGCTGTTCCCAAAGCTTTCCGGCCTAATTAAAAATTAACTAAGAGGCCGGGATGGATGGTAGCCCTTTGATATGGTGATTAGGATGAGAGACCGAATACCCTTACAGTAATAGAGGATTTTAGCAAAGGGCAGCGGCGCGGGTGTGCCTGTGTTAGTGGGGTGTTTGCAGGGATGCACCGTGCAGGGAGGATGCAGGACTCAGTCATATCCGCACGGTTCCCTGCAAGCGATAAATATTCAGTGTAAACATCCCAAAACAGAGAAATATAATTCTTTGACACCACTTCTGTCTCCCTCTCCTGAGACATCCTCCTCAGAAATTGTTAGTCTTTATGAATTATCAGAAGAAAGCAGGTAAAATGGAACTAATTTCTTCTCCCAGGTCCCTTCTCCCCCATGCCCAGCTCGTTCTCCAGCACCAGTTGGGTCACGGATTCAGGCGAGTATTACTGCAAAAAATAACCGAATTCCTTCATTTTCTCACAGAAACGGCCATGGCGGTGGCGTGGGTGCCTGGTACTCCCGGGAGGCGAAGGAAGGGCAGTGGGAGAAAAGCTTTGAATCTTCATTTTCTCCCTCTCTTTCTCCTTCTTTTTGTTTTGTTTTGTTTTGTTTTGTTTTTTTTTTAGAGGAGGGTTGGAGTTAAAATGGGAAGAAATAGGGAGCCTGAACGTGAGGGTAGGAGCCCCGTCCTCGGGGCCGGGGCCGGGGGCGGCAGCCCGGGGGGTGAGGAGCCCATCCCCAGGGCCTTCAGGCGCTGCCCTGCCTCCGGGGAGACAGAGAAGACCCTCTCCGTTTTTTCTGTCCCCCAAACCCGTTATTTTTTCCCATCCGTTTCCGTCGTCTTTGCCGTTTTGTTGGACACAGGCTTTGGGAGCGGTGGCTGCTGCGGTCGCTTTCCTCATTAGTGTTTGTTCGCTTCCTTCGCTTTCAGGTTAAGAGATAAAAAGAAAAGGAAAACTAAAAGGAAAAAAAAAAAAAAAGAAAAGGAAAAGTAGCTCAGAAAGCTCCAAAGGCCAGGGCTGCCCCAGCTGCGGCAGGAGGGAGCGAGGGACATCGGCTGCCCGGGAAGTTTGGGGAATTTGCTGATGGGGGAATTAGTGGGACTGAAGGGGGGAGCTGGTCATTTACCAATTCTGTATAAAATGAGCAAAAGGTTGACGTGTCCCAGTCACGTGAGCGCATAATTCAAGCTATTATTTTGGCATTTAGGAAAGGGGGTGGGGGGGGTAGAAGAGAAGAAAAGTGGGTATGGTGATTCCCAGCCCGCCTGTTGTGAGCTGCTCCCAAAATAGCTATTCGTAGCACGCTGATATCGCAAACTGCCGTCTCCTCCCACCCCCACGCACCCCCCCTTTCCCCCCCCCCACCCCCTCCACGCACCCCCTCCTCCGCTGGGGCCAGGAGAGGCTTTTGGCGACGGGTGGACCCGTGGGAGAGGGGTGCTGCGGGGGCTGGGAAGACCCAGCCCCGGCAGAGCCTGGGACTTGGGTGTCCGCCCGGTTGTTGTTTTTGTTTTGTTTTTTTGGAAACAATTCCAAAGCACTTCCGCTGATTGATCATTAACCTGGTGAGTTATTGCTCTTCTAAGCAAAGGTCAGGGGGAGAAAAAGGTCTAATCTGTCAAGGCAAACCCACTGCTCGCTCAGATTCATTTTGATTTCTTATCCGGGCTGGCTTCTGTTTGGGGTTTCAGGAGGTCCTGGACCCTCCATAACTCTCCCCTCCTCCTCGGAGCTCTCCCCTTCTTTGGGCTCTGTGGAGTGGGAAACCCCAAACTCCTTCCCTTTAGGAAAAAACAAAAAAACAAAACAAAAAAGGTCCAAGAGAGGGTGAGCAGCCCTGCGGGAGGGTGCGGTGGGTGCTGCGCGGCTCCTCGCCCTGCCCCGGGGGCATGAGCCCATCGGGGGGTGCGGAGCGAGCAGGGGCCGGGCTGGACCTGCACCGCCTCTGCGAGAAAAATGAATGCAAGCCAAATAGAGAAAAAAAACAACAACAAAAAAAAACCCCAAACAAAACAAATCAAAACAAAGAATATCGGGGCGGGGGGGAGCGGGAGGGAAGAGAACCTTACTCCATCCCTCTTCTGCCTGTTCTGCGAGGGAATAAATGAAAAACAAAGGAAAACACACACACACACACCCTCGCCTTCCTTGCTGGAACCGTTATTTCTGCCAGCTTCTTTTTCGGTTGTTTGTTTGTTTCTCTTTTTCCCCTCCTCCCTCCTGCATCCATTCCAAATAAACGCGATTTTCCCTCTTTTCTCCACCTCCTCGCTCTCGGGCTGCCCACTTCTCCCCTTCCTCCCCGGGCCCGGCGTGGGAGGAACTTGCCGAGACTCAGCTTGCGTTTGCTGAGCTCACAGCGCAGAAAGGGTGTTTTCTTTCTTGCTTTTTTTTTTTTTTTTTTTTTTTTATTTTTTCCCCCCCTCTTTACAAACCTCTGTGTGTACTCTACAGAGGGAACTGAAAAGCCCCAGTTAACCGGGGAAGGCTATGATGTAAGTGGAATATTGCCAAAGCTGTGTATTAAAGTGTGCGCGCATGTAATAATAATACTAATAAAAAATACAGCTATAGGCCGCCGACTAGAGAAGGTCACGAAGCATCCGCGGGTGATTTATGGACTTGGGGATGTTGTCACAAGCAGAGTAGGGGTGTGAGGGGAACATTTTTATTTGAGATTAATAACATCAACATACAGAACGGAAACAGGATTATTAAAGCGACTGAATGTTTCCCAAAACGAAAATATTTTTAAATGAGATTGCTTTTTCTTTCTCCCCTTCTTTCTCCCTTTCTGAGTCCTCCGTGCCAAAGTTGTGGTCATAAATCTCAGTGTGGCTTTAAAAATGTTTATGGCTCGATACCGTTAATTTTGATACCAAATCACTTCTGCGTGAATGGTGTCCTCGTACACTATAAAGCATCTCCGTCCTGCCCCCCTTCGTGGAGATCCTCCGACCATACTGCAGAAACACAAAACAACATATTCTAAATCCTTCAGGCTTTTCTGTCTTTCAGGAAAACGCCCTCCTATTTTCCCTACTGTTATCCTGCTGTTGAACCCAGAGCTAGTTATCTGCATGTATTTCATATCTTAAACGCATTTATATCTGAAATTACCACCAGAATTTAACCAAACCCCTTTCTGATATATATATTTTCAAAATTACATTCAGAGGTCACCACCAGCCGTGGACAAACCGCCCATGGTCCACGCCAAAGCGTTTCCATCTCTAACGCGAACCCCAGAACGGGCGAAGGGTTTCTCTCACCGGGGGGTTTCCACGGGGGAAGGTGGAAGGAAGCGCCGGGGAGGCAGGGGATTGCATCACATTTACAGAAATAAAGCTGGTGTCCACCGCCTGCGATGAGAATATTGGGTTATCAGTGGACGGAGCCGGGTGCAAGCCCTGGAGAAGCTGTGGTTACTTGGATGGGAGATAATCTCAGAGGAAATGCTGGGGCTTTTGTTCAGCAGAGCCTGTCTTCTCCCCATTTCCACCCAAAGGTTTCTCCCTATGATGAATTCCCTTGCCCACGCTTTTCTGACCGAAGTTTCATACTCTTTTTTTTTTCCCCTTTTTTCCCTCCCCCAGTTCTTCTCCTTTCTCAAAGTCCACTGCTGCCTCGGATTTGCTGGACCAGACATCCGAGAATTGGTGAGTTTTGCTGAATATCCTACCTGGTCCCCTGTCTGTGTGTGTCTCCGTATCTCCCTCTGCATCAGGCTTGGAAGCCATTCCTTCTCGAAAGTCACCCAACGTGACTTTTTTTGGTTTTTGTTGGTTTTGTTGTTTTTTTTTTTTTTCCCCTTCACCAACCCCAGAATAAGCACGGCTGCCCTGGATTTCAGCTGAGTATTTTCATTTTGCTACTGGCTTGTCTTTAAACTTTGTGATTTATGGCTGTAACTTTGAGGGAGTGTTTTAAATGGAAGATATTTCCTGTACTCCCTTTGAAGGGAAATCCAGTCAGATTGCAACATTTGCTGCTGATTTCGTGACGAGTGCGAGGGAGTTACATTTTAAAGAAAAAAAAAAAAAAAAAAGCTGCAACCAAAGGAAAGATGGCAATAGACAGGGAGCCTAAAAAAAACTACTTACAGGAGCTCCACATATAAACGTGCAGCGACTTTCTTAACAGGTTTCTTGTCTTTTCTTTTCTTTCCTTCCTTTTTTTTTTGGTTTTTTTTTTTTTTTTTTGGCTGCCAGTTAAGGTTAAAACAAAATTTTGCACTTCAGAGGAGTTACTTGCAGTATCCGAGGTACTTCTGATTGCCTAGGTACTCCCAATAAGTCAGTGGAGATCCATACTCAGAAACCTATAGAGTACTTCACCTACAGAAAAGTCTTTACAAGAGTAGTCCACGCCTGTTTTTCCTCTTTCCTTCCCTGGAATATCAACGCCGGGGCTCCAAAACAGGAACTATCTTGTAGCAGAAGATTTATGTTGGAGCAGTTCATAAAAAGTCAGATGAGGGGGGAACTAAAAAAAAAATCGCAATAATGGTGTCCCCTCGTCGAAACCCTCACATCTGGGATCTGAACGCTGCAGACAGAACAATAGCTGGAAACACCGTAGTCCTTGGGATAAGACTTTATCCATCATCTAGAAAACCTTGGCTGTCCAACCCAGAGTAAGTCCTCTCAGAAGTCAAATATTTACTTGGACACCTTTCTTTGCAGAGTTATCAGCCTAAAGGTGCACACATATACACACACACACACACAAAAAAAAAAAAAAAAAAAAAAAAAGGGGCGATGCAAACCCCACGACGGGTCATACCTTCCCAGCGAAGTCCAAAGAGCCTTTGTGGTCCCTCTTTTTCTTGCTTTGCTAAACATAAATATCCCCCGTCAGCACTTAACCCAAAGGAGCGAGCGCCAGAATTAAAGGAAGGAAGATAATTGCGATGTGAAACAAAAGTAGCACTTTAAAAAAAAAAAAAAAAAGCAAAAAGTGCAGACACCTAAATTCCTTGCCCTGCCTTCCTCCCACTCGCCAGCCCCTCCTCGGCCCGGACTTTCCCCAAAACGCATCTTGGCGAGTTTCTGCTTTCGGCAGCCGCGTGGGAGCGGGGAAATGCATAAATCTCCCGTGGCGACAGCAGCAGCGCCTTGCCTAGCAATAACGGCGATATTAATAATAGCAATAATAATCATCTTTATTGTTCAACACCTCGCTGCCTTGGCCTCCCCCGGGGGTGATTTGCGCCCTGAACCTCCCCCCCCCACCCGGCACCTACTCCCCGGCGGAGACCGAGAGGAGCCCCCAGACATTGGGACGCACAAACTTAACGCCGAAGTTACGCGGAGTTGCACCAACACAAGAGATTCCTCCTCCCCCCCTCCCCTCCACCCTTGCCAACACCGGGACCGGCGGCTCCCGGGTCCCCCCCCGGGCCCAGAAAAGGGGGTTTCAAAGACGTGTGTGTGTGTGTGGGGGGGGGGGGGGGTCGAGAGGAGCCAAACGCAGCCGAAGGGCCGGGGGAGGAAAAGCCTCAGCTATTCAAAGAGCCGCGATTGCCGCCGCGGAAGGGGAGGGGGGAGACTATGACTATGTTGAAACGGTTTATTAGCATAAATTGACACCTAATTGTTAAACACGTGAATCAAAGGCAAGCTTTGCTATCTTTCTGCCTAGGCCTCTGTCCACCACGTCTGCAATTAGCATAATTTTTCACTAGTGACGCTGTTTGGGAGGCTCGTTGGCTTTGCCCGGCAATCCAAACCAAATCTTTATTTTTAAATATCCCCTTCGCTTTATTCCCCCTCTCGCCCACCCCCCTCCCACCCCGTAGCCTGGATTCTTTTCGTTATTATTTTAATCCCAGCCAAGCATTGCATAGTTAAAAGGGGGGGGGGGGGGGGGTGTTGTGTTCAGCTTTTCTTTCTTTCTTTTTTTTTTTTCCCTTCTCCTTTCCCTTCTTCCCCTTTGCTGTGGTAAAGCAGAGGCCATTGTTATCAGTGAGCAGCGCGTACCAGTCTATAGGGCAACTAGAATCTCAGGGTTTGTCCATTCAAAGCCCTCAGCTTTTCTGCACATCTTGGAAGCTGGAAAGCATCTTGATTTTTTTTTTTTTTTTTTTTTTCCTCTTCCCAAACGGAGACAGAGAGACAATTTGAGCTGCCGTAACCGAAAGCTCCACTGGCTGAGCCCCCTCCCCCTCTGTTTTGGCTTTTTTTTTTTATACATATATACATGCATATGCTGGATTTTTTTCCTCTCTCTCGTATATTCCTTTAACGTTTTTAAAGGAAGGGGGTCATTCCTTGCTTATTGATTGCGTGGATGCTGGATGTGAAAATATATTATGTCTGCCTGTGCTTTGCTCGTCAGAGACTAAGGTAAGCCGGACTCAAATAGGCTATCACTTTGTGAATGGCGGAGTATATGTCCCAATGATTTATGACCATATGACTCCAATCTCGGTTCAAGAAGAGTTCACAAGCTTTAAGCTTCCTTCCACGCAGAGACTCTTTTGCAGCCCTCATCCAGGGCCCTTTTTTTCCCCCCTGCTTTACAACTGGGGAGTGCTGGTTGGGGTGAAGCTCGGTTGTGGGGGGAGGGAAGAGGGAAATTTTAGGAATGTGTCTCTATTTTCCAGGCATATCCACCGCAAGGCAGTCGCTGGGATTTGAGCTCTTTCTGAGCAGCCGACCTATTGTTAAGGGCATGTTTAGAATATTTATTATTAATAATAATTTAAATTAAAAGCGGGGCTATGCCTGCTTTCGCTGGCTGTGGGAAATGTACCTTAGGAGGGGGCGGGGGGGAGGGGAAAGGCGCTGCTCTTCTTCATAAACACAGTCAGGTTGTGAATTTAGGATTTCCAACATGGAGGGGATGGCTTTACAGGAGAATACCTCTGCCTTAGATTTCTTTTATCTTTTTCCCCCGACCGCCTGATTTTTTTTTTTTTTTTCCCTGAGCATCCTCCTCCTTGCAGCCCTTTCCCTCTCGCACCTTCCCCTGATTTTTATTTATTTATTACAAAAAAAAAAAATGTCTCTAAATCCTTGCACTCAAAAGTTGCAGGCAGAGTTTGTGGTTAAATGTTACTGCTCGCAAAGTGAAACTTGGAGCGTGATGAAACACCCAGCGCGGATCCTGCCCGGGTTTAATTGGAACAGGAGATAATCGAATATTTATTATTCTGCCCGAGATTTTTTTTTTTTCTAAACAATTCCTTGGAGTAAATAATTAGGATTGCGGCCGTCCTCAGCGAAGATAAATGAGCGGCATTTGTGAGGCGCTGAGAGATGAGGTACAAAGCAAATCTTCTGTGGAAGCCACAAGCGAGCGAGCTTTTGGGCGAAGGGGATTGTAAATTTATTTTATGGACATTTAAAAAAAAAAAAATCGTCGCTGTTATTTTTAGCTGCTTTAGCTGAGCCTGTGTGCCTGGTTCTGGTTTGGGTTTGTTTTGTTTTTGTTTTGTTTTGTTTTGTTTTTTTTTAAGAAACCTATGCCAGACGGGAAGGCCTTGGAGAAATTCCCACCTCTGCCCTCGTAGATATTTTCAGCAAACCTATTCATAATAAAGGCGCTGCTGTTTGTTAATTAATTCACAGCTTCTCGGCTCGGGTAGTGGAGTCTACTTTTTAATAAGACATATTTATCATGGCAAGGAAACCAAATGAGAATAACTCCCAGCAAGGATATCATCCTCTCTGTAGACAATAATACATCTCCGTGGAAGATACAATATAGATTTGGGAATGCATAAAGGATTTAATCAGTGTAAAAAAGCAAAGCAGTCCCTTCATGGACACGTTGTCTGAGGCTGTGTTGGAAGTATATGGAGGTTTCATATGACATGACATAAGAACACAGCAGTCAGGGAAGGGAAAAAAAAGATGTTATTTATTGTCAAGCTGTGGCTTCTGTTAAAACCTGGTACTTAGAAATATCACATTAGACTTTATCTCAGCAGAGTTTATTTTATTTTATTTTAGAAAATGAAAGAGCCCAGATAAAATTAAATATACAAGAGATACAATTAAATATACAGTGGATATCAATTTCAAAACAAAATGCACAGTGGCTCCTTGAAAACTCTGAGCTGCAGAGAGAAGTCTCTGGCTTTTTAAAATACGTGTGCTGCTTGATTGATCCTCACACATCAGATTATTTTCAGGTCAAGATAGTTTTCATATTTCTAAGGGTATTTCTACTCTGTCTTTATGGTAGAGAAAGTTTATGCTTTGAGAAAAGAAAGAGAAAGAAAGAGATAAAGAAATGTAAAAAGGTCAGAGAGAGAAAGAAAAAAGGAAGGTTTAATTTTGTAATTTGAGGCTTTGGGCTGGGTTTTTAGACTTTTTGATCTTGGATCGAGAGAGGGAGACATGATGAAAAATCAAAAGGGTAGAAAGTTAAGAGCAAATGGCCTGGTGACGTGTTTGTTTTCCAAGGAAAAAAAACAACAGCAATTAAACTGGTTTTGGAATCCCATCTTGTCAATGGTAGTTCCAGATTCAGGACTGATGAGCACAAAGCAGTGCAGGCAGTGAAGGGGTATGTGTTCTAAATACAACCTGTGCTACCAGAGAGGGAGAGACTAACAACCAGGCCACAGGAAGCACATTCTTGAATTCATGCCCTTACTTAAATCTGTTTAAAATATTTGCACTGAATTCCAAAGACATGGTGAGTCCCTGTGTAAACAGCAAATCAAGCCAACTGTGTCAGGACACCATTACCTGGATAAAACATAGTGACTATTTGCTCTTTTCAGGTTAAAAACAAATATACTGGACAGAGGGCCTACAATAAACTTAGGAGACTTTTAATTTTGGAGGCTATAATGTCTTGCTCGTTTTTATGTGTGTGAATGGCTGATTTGAATAGGTCAGGGGTAAGAAAGCAAGACTTCCATTACTTTCATGTTTGTAGCTAGCAATTATCCATTCTGTATTCTAATTTTTACATTAATTTGTGTGTGTTGTTTGGACATAGATGTGTATACATGCACACAACACACATGTGCATGTATACACACAGTTATATGAGTGTATATGTCTATGCATGGGTGTGTGTGTATATGCATATAGATAAATACAGAAGTAAATAGATGTATACAGACGAAACCATGTGTACTTTTAGAGCATGTGCGTAGTTATACAGCCTGGGTGCTATCCTCTAAAGGAAAAAAAGGTGCAACCAACCAACCAGGAAAACTACTCCCCCAAATCAGCTCAACACTTCTGCACTGTAACATTTGTTGAGCCTCCTTAGGCTGCACGCAGGACAAAATCTGCTCAAAGCATCTGTTCACCCTGTTCTGCGGGACCCTATTCATGTCATGGGCTTTTCAGGCCCCAAGATGGATTCATAGGCCGGGTACTATTATTGTGTGTTTTCTCCTAACCTTTCAGGTCAGCTTCCAATAGACAGCTGGAAACGGCCTGTCACGTGGCCTTGGGGTGCCAATGTTCTGCCATAGGGGTGTCAAGACCCTGGTAGCCGGAAAAATCATTTTGGGGAGTCCCAGAGATGCAGAAGACAACGTACTACGACAGCTCCACGCTCTTTGGGGGTTACTCCTACGGGAGTGCCAATGGGTTCGGCTACGAGGGTCCCCAGCAGTCCTTCCAGCCGGCCTCTCACGTGGAGAACGACTACCAGAGGTCTGCCTGCTCCCTCCAGTCTCTTGGCAACACAACCCCGCACGCAAAAAGTAAAGACCTGAACGGGAGCTGCATGCGTCCGAGTTTGCCCCAGGAGCACCACCCGCCTCCCCCTGTCTCGCCGCCCCCAAATCCCACCACCAACAGCACCAGTAGCAACAGCAATAACCAGTCCGGGAGCAGTAAAACTGCCCCCAGCAAAGCCAACCTCAGTGCAAACGCCAGTCTCACCAAGCAGATTTTCCCCTGGATGAAAGAATCGAGGCAAAACTCCAAACAGAAAAACAACTCCCCTAGCACAGGTACACTGTTCTGCTTTTGTAACCCTCCGCTTCCCCAGACAGGGAGGTAACGAAGCCTCCAGCTGGAATGGTCTTGTTTGGAGGGAGGGGAGAGAGGGAGAGGATCCAGTGAGGATCCAGCGAGGATCCTAGTGCTGGGCATGATCCCAAGACTGCCAGCTGCTGCCCCGGCCAGGCTGAACGAGCCTTGGCCCACCCTGCAGCACTGATTGTGAACACTTGGTTTATTTTAAATATATCCAAAGCACCACAGGGAAATACAACCAGGCGGTTGTACACAGCTAGTGTCTGACTGTGTAGATACAGATACATGAAACTGTACACCCACTGCTCAACCTCGCGATGCTAAAGCAGAGTGCTTGTTCTCTTCCCACCTCCCTGCCTCCAGACACAGCAGTAAACATGGTGCTTGGAGGGTATGTGTGCATGTATAGAGCATATGCATAAACGCATAGATATTCTTGCATGTATACACGCACATCTCTATCACAATCAAGAAGAAAAATCAGTGTGGAAATATCACTGCTTTGACAAATATTTTCCTGTAAACTTTTTGGCACACACCTCCCTCTACATTAACATAATCTATCTGTTATATACGTGTTTATCTCACAAAAAGGTAGGTATAAATGCTATTGGTGTTTAATAATGTACCTGCAAATATTTGTGTTACACAAATGCAAGACACAATTGAGCTGAATGCGTGTGTGTGCATTCGCACCTCAGCAAACAAAATACCTCCCAACACTGACCCGTGTTAGTATTAATTGACTTTGCAGTGTCTGCCCCCCTGCCAAATATTATTTTCTCAAAATTATCTGTTGGAAATAATCGACTCCTAAATAAATGGCCCTGGAATCCTTTTCTACATGACATGATCAAATTTTCATAAACCAGGGGCAGCTTTGGAGAACAGAACTCTTAATAAATGACATGATTATGGAGTGCAGGCTAATGCAAAAGGGTGAGGGAAGGGGGGGGGGTCGAACTCTTGTGCCTGTTCCAGGATTTATTAAGAAACGATGCATTCAATTTCTGCATGTAAGTAATTATCTTTTATTTCATTTCGCGGACAGCAGAAACCTGCAGTGGCGAGAAAAGCCCTCCAGGCTCCTCGGCCTCCAAGAGAGCCCGCACAGCCTACACCAGTGCTCAGCTGGTGGAGCTGGAGAAGGAATTCCACTTCAACCGCTACCTGTGCAGGCCCCGCCGCGTGGAGATGGCCAACCTGCTGAACCTCAGCGAGAGGCAGATCAAGATCTGGTTCCAGAACAGGAGGATGAAGTATAAGAAAGATCAGAAGTCGAAAGGCATGGGGTCTTCCTCTGGAGGGCCTTCCCCCACCGGCAGCCCTCCCCAGCCCATGCAATCCTCCGCCGGATTTATGAACGCCTTGCACACCATGAGCAGTAACTATGACGCCCCCTCGCCGCCTTCCTTCAATAAACCCCACCAAAATGCCTATGCCATGTCAACTAACTACCAAAACCCCATCAAAGGCTGTCCCTCGCAACAGAAATATGCCAACACGGCCCCTGAGTATGACCCTCACGTCTTACAAGGGAATGGGGTGGCCTACGGGACTCCCAGTATGCAGGGAAGCCCCGTCTATGTTGGAGGTAACTATGTGGATTCTATGCCCACCTCTGGCCCGTCCCTTTACGGCCTCAATCACCTGCCACATCACCAGGCTGCCAACATGGACTACAACGGGCCTCCACAGATGCCCCCGAGCCAGCACCACGGACCCTGCGAGACCCACCCCACCTACACAGACCTTTCCACGCACCACGCTTCTTCTCAGGGCAGAATCCAAGAGGCGCCCAAGCTGACCCACCTGTGATAGGGAGCAGGGACAGGCTCAGGTGAAGCGGATGGGACCCCGCCATGGGGCATGGGAGAGGGGAAGAGGGCAGGATCGGCTTCAGGAACATTTGTGTTGAGCTATTTTCTTTCTTTCTTCAACAGGGCAATTTCTACCAGGTTGTTGTGCTTGTTATTATTATTTCTGGGTTTTATTAGGCACAATTTCCAACCATTTCATTATTTACTGCCAAAAGCAGTTCTCTCTCTGAAGAGATATACCTCCTGTGTTTCAACACAAATGCTTCTGAAATGGGTTTGGGGTAGTTTTGTGGGAATCTAGCAGATTTTAAGCAGCAACATCCTTCATTTACAAAACAAGCACGGATCGTCACTGATCATTCTCGGACACTGGAAAGGGGAATAGTCAGAGAGCCAGCCAAGTCTTTCCAGTTGGTGTTTCTGCATCTACGTAAACATGCACACGTGTATACATATGCAATCAAAAGAGATTCGCAAGAAAACTACCCCCCTCTCCAACTCCCCAACTCCGTCTCAAGAGGAACCTCACGCTTTCCTTTCCAGCCTTCAGAGGAAGGGCATCCTTTTTTGCCAAGTAACTTTCCACCAGCCCACACATGAACTGCAAATATACATACCTGCCAATGCGTGGGATTCACGCTCTTCCCCTCCAGTCCTGCCTCCCTTCTCAAAAATAATAATAATTTAAAAATTAGAATAAGAGTGGTCTAAGAATTGCAAAAGGTTTGGGAAATTTTTTTTTGAAATGCCTAAAACCCCCCACCATCAGTAACTGCAGTCCAAAGAGAGGAAGAAAGAGTTGACAGGTCTGAATATTTTCCCACCTTTGCCTCTGCTGACATGAAGTCTCCATTTGACAACACCGGGGTTTTTTGTTTTGGGGGTATTTTTCTTAGGGTTCATTAACAGAAAAGCAATCTTAAGACTCAGAAGTCCTACGCTTCTTTCCTCCTCTTCTCTTGACCTTACGTGAAAACAGGGTATATTTGAACAAACGGAATGTCCTCCAATCGAAGCAGAAGTGAATGGATCTCTAGTATTTGCTAATGCTTTCTTGTCTGGACATCTTTGTTGCACTTAGAGTTTACATATAATGGGTATAAAAACAACTTTGAAGGGCTTTCGTCCAACTCAGTCGAGATGTCCTTCAATAGGTGTGTGTTCTGGTGAACATTCATATATATTTATTGGTTATAGCCAGTTTAAAATATTTTCCTTTTTTTTGTATTATTTATCCCCAATATTATGTATTTATATGAGGAAAAAAGAATCAAATTGTACTTTTTTAGTATTTACTTGTTATAAAGGACATTGTGTTTCCTTGTCATTGTACAACAAGCTTATTTTAGTTATTGTAATTTAGAAAGACCAGTAGTTTTATGTTACCTTCGTACTTATGAATAATGTAATTAGTTCTACTGGAGGCATGAGAGCAGAACCAGACTGTAATTGTATAGTCCTGAATTAGAAGAACTATAGCTAATCCCTCCCTCCCACCTCACCCCTCCTCTTTGGAGATCTTTCTTTGTTCTTATAGTAGTTATTTTATTTCCTTGCTTAAGGGTTGTCTGTCAAACAATTCTTGAATAAACTTTCTGTTATCAATTTTATCTTGTCCTATCCGTCAGATTTAAAGGCAAAAATAAATCATGTGTAAGTAAAAATAGCGAAGAGGACGCAGGAAAGGGATCACTGGAAATGTTCGGGAGTCCAGGCAGCCGGATTCATGTCTCCGTCCCCTTCTGGGGTGAAATCCCGGGAATTCGGGCCAAGAGCGGCCGGTTCGGTCCTGCTGCCCCCTCCGCGGCCCCGCGCGGCCCCTGCGCGGCCCGACCCGCGCCCGCGGCCACAAAGGGGGATCACGTGGCGCCAGAGCCGGGCTGCCATTGGGCCGCAAATGAAAACAAAGGAAAAGGATTAATCACCCCCCCAAAAAAAAGAAAAAAGAAAAAAAAAATGAAAAAGGGCCCAGAGTTTCCATGAGGGGACCTTAAAAGTGAAGAGAAATTAAATTACTTATTAAAATTAATTATTATTAAAATACATGCATGTGTGTACACACACACATACACACAGGCACACACGTGCACACATACATGTGCATACACATGCATGCAGACATACACACCCCTATACCCCCTCAGACTAACATGCATCAAAAATTGTCATGAAAAGGGGGAAAAAGCCGCTGCCAAAGGTTACTTTATCAGTGTGAGCAAAAGGCAGAATAACCCTTTGCCAGCAGCAAAAGCAGATGGGATAATACCGTGAATAATTTGCCTTTTATGCTCTAAAGCCCTAAGAAAACTTATATTAAAGCAGCAAGGGCCAATAAAAGTTTTATGGTTCTGGAAAGGGGGCGAACTGCTTGTCAGGCTCGAAATGCTCCATTTCTGTGGCTGATGAAGAGGGGAAAGTCCCCTCCGGAGGAAAGGAGAGGGGGATTTTGATTGCTGCCAGGAGAAAAGGGTGAAAAGTCTGTAAAAGGTACCGAAAAAAAGGGCTGGGCTGTAGAAATAGGGAGTGTGTATGTGTGTGCGTGTCTATATTTTATACACCTGTGTGCACAGCCAGGAACATCCATAGGTGTCTGGATAAACCCACACCTATAAAAAGGTCTAGGGGAGAAAGCTTTAAATGAGAAATGATCGCATGCCTCTTTCCATCTCTGAGCTCTCTTAATAAATGAAGTTCCAGGTTAATAATTATAACCTTCGTGCAATAATAAATAATGGTAGAACAGAGAGACAGGGCTTGTTTTTCTCCCCAGGACCGGGGCTGGGTTATGCCCGTCCATGCAGAGAGCCATTTACCATTCGGGGATACTATAATTTAAAAGCATAAAAGCGTGCAGGCTCTGATTGGGATCGGCTCAAAGAACAAGAGCTTGGGTTGGGCTTGGGTTTGTCGTTGGCTTTTTCTTCTCCCCCATCTCATTGAATATATTTTTCCGTTTCTCATCCCAGTCGCCATGTTGCTGGGGTTTGTGTCAGGGATTCCCTAGGAACTAGTTAAAATCGGGAAAAAGAAGCCAATTCCAAGGCTCAGAGCATGACACCTCTCAGTTTCTCAATGGGGTCCCTCTCCTACAACTCCTCATACCCACGGTTTAATTTGCGCTGCTGCATTAAAGCAGCAGGCCCTGATTTGTCTTACAATTATTGCATTTCTATATCGTTCACCAACCCTGTGAATTTATTTGTATAAAGTGATGCCTTTCCCCCTGAGTAGGGAGATTTTTTTTTCTTGAGCCTTTGCATGGTGCGTGGGAAAAATCCCCCTTTCCCCAAGAGGGGTTTTTTCCTTTTTTTTTTTTTTTTTTTCCCCTTTCAACTTTAGTATTAGCAAAAGCAGCAAGAACAGTTGGGAGCAGCTGGAAAGAGTTTCCTTTTGCATCCAAAACTCTCTCGCTGCATCCCAGTTCCCCAGTGAACTGCACCGTCCCTCAAAAAGAAGGAACCGGCAGCCTCATGACAAAGCCCGAGACCCCCAAAATGCCACTTTAATCCAAACAAACAAGAAATGATCGGAAACCCAACTATTAATTTTACATCAGTCCTGATCTGCTGAGATTGAGTAGATTTATGCTGATTTTGATAAGCGTATTCACAGGGACAAAATATTTAGTGAAATTCTCCTTTCAGTGGAGCTGTGTTTTGAAAATGCTTTTTTATTTTCTTCATCCATTTGCTAAACTGTGCTTCAGCCTCGGCTTCAGCTTTAGATTTATTATGTGTTTCTCAGAAACCCTTACCACCCACACAGATGCTTGAACTGACAAAAGTTTCTAGGCTTCTCCCTGCGTGAATGCAGCCTGCCAGTTCCTCTCTGCTGCAAAATGGGAGAAATGGAGCTTGAACAAACAAACTACAAACCAGACACATTTCCAGTGTGCAGCAGGCAGCTTAATTTTTCCCCCCACCCCAAAATTTTCACTTTCCAGACTTCCCGAATTCAGACCCTCGGATTAAACTTTTAAAATCTTTATTGGTTTAAGTAACTCTTTAGCAAAAGCCAAATTTCTTTGCTGAGCTGTTAGGCTGAGCTGTCAAAAGTCTTTCGAGGAAAAGATTGATCATTTCTCTCTTCTTTTCGGTTTGTGTGCACCAAGGCACTTTAAAGGGAAAAAAAAAAAAAGTCTTCCTGGGAAATTACTTTTAATTTTATTTATTTATTTAGTAAACTCTGGAAGTGGTGCTGTTTGTTGGCGGTGGGGGGAAGAGGGAAAAAAAAGATGGGAAGGAAGAAATGTGATTTCAAAGATAGCCATGACCTTAAAACACGTTTGGCCTTCAAGAAAAGTGCAAAAGGTCCATTAAGTCTGGCTTTAAAACCAGAAGGATTAGCTGTTTCTTTAAAAGTAATTTAACCAGGTAAATCAGGCCGGTCTAACTATACTTGTCTCGAAAGATCACTCGATTTCCAAAGTGCTCATACCCAGACCTCAGCACCAAACCTTCCCGCGGCTGGAACTCCCCGAGCCCCGCAGTGTCTGGAGGATGCGCAAATACCCGCAGGCAGCCCGGGCCTCGTTTGCCAGCCCCCAGGTCGCAGCTCGCCCGCGGCTCAGGCTGCATTTCCCCGGCTGCAGGCGAGCATCTCGGGGCGGGGGGGGGGGGGGGGGGGGGGCAGAGCCCCTTTTCCCACGCTTGGTCCTGCCCCAGCCCGGGGTCCCAAACTCGCGGTGCGAGGGCGTCGGAACCCCCCCGGCTGCACGAGGAGAGATGGCGGGGCGGGTGGGGGTGGGGGGGACTTTTCGGGAGATCTCTCGCCTTTTTTTTTTTTTTTTTTTTTAATCAATTAAAGAAAATAATGCTTTCTGTTTGCCACCAGGCCCCGCCTGCCATTGGCCAGGGCTGGCCACGTGACCAGGAATTGGCTGCAATTTCGCCCCAGTCTCGAGTTTAATAGAGCAAGGTCCCCATACGCCTGTATTATCAGCAATATAACAATTATAAAAAGCCCGAGAACCATCATCATCACTGCCATAAAAACTGAGGCCCTCAGATTCCTTCCCTCTCCCCCTCCTCCTCCCTCTCCCCCCTCCCGTTTTTTTAAACCCTGGGCCCTGGAAAAGCCATGAATTTTGAATTTGAGAGGGAGATCGGGTTTATAAATAGCCAGCCTTCGCTCGCAGAGTGCCTGACGTCTCTTCCCGCTGTCCTGGAGACATTTCAAACTTCATCAATCAAGGACTCGACATTAATTCCTCCTCCTTTTGAGCAAACCGTCCTCAGCCTGAATCCTTGTTCCAGCAGCCAGGCAAGACCGAGGAGCCAAAAAAGAGCATCTCATGGCCTGCTCCAGCTCCAGCCCCAACCTCCGGCACAGCCCGGCCCCTTGGCAGCGGAATTCCCCTGGATGAAGGAGAAGAAATCGTCCAAGAAAGCTACCCAGGCTCCATCCTCTTCTTCCTCCTCTTCCCCCCCATCATCTTCCTCCGTGCCGGTCCCTGCCGCAGGATCTCCTGCAGGTTCGTATAATGAGGGGGCGAGGGGGTGTTTGCTGAAATCGGAGAGGATCCGAATAATAAACAATCCCCCCCCCGCCCCAGAGCAGCCCTACCCCAGCTCCCCCCCGCCTCCCCAAACAGACTTTGCCCCGCACCTCCCCCGAAACTGTGTCACGCAATGAAATACACGGCAACAATGTACACAGCCGGGGAAGGGTGTGGGGGGGAATTTCTCCTGCCTCCTCCCCCCGCAAATAAAAGAGCAAATTGCTGTAACTTTTGCGAAAGCAAAGAGGGAGAGGGGGCCGGGGGAACCGGGCTTTTTATTAGCTCCAGCGGGGGGACCTGGCAGCTGAGCCACAGCTCCATTTGCCTGACTTTTCCTCCCAGCCCTGAATTATTTTTTTTTTTAAGAGTTTACAGGAAAAAAAAAAAAAAAAGGCAAACAAATAAAAAAAACCAACCAAACCAAACCACAAAAAAAAAAAAAAAAAAAGACGAAAACGAAAGAAGATTGGAAAGGGGAAAAAAAAAAAAAGAGACGGGTGGGTAATGCAGGGGCTGCTACCAGCAGGATAGGGACGCGGAAAGTGCGAGAACTGGACTCTCAGCACTGCGGGGAGAGTCAGATCCCCATTACAAAATAAAATAAATACACCCCTAAATCCTCCCCCAGTAAAACCTCTCTCCGAGGCACCCCTTTGGCAGGGACCCTCCTTCCCCCGATATAAAATGTTTGAGGCACAATTCACTGTTTCAAGGTTTTAATGGCACCGTTCAGGTAAATGCTCGGGCAGGAGAAGGGCGGACACCGGAGCTCATTGGCCAGATAATACAGGAATAATGAAATCAAAGCCCTGCAGCGTCCGTCCCCGAACTACTGGCAAAAGGAGGGAAAAGAAAAAAAAAAAAAAAAAAAAAAAAAGGGAATGGGTCGAAATTCCCCTTGTCTGTGAAGGTGCCAGAGAAGGAAAGTGTCTAAAGGGAGAGGCCAGGGAGCAAAATCCTTTCTCCTCCTTGGGGCAAGGGGATCGGAGAATTATTTCCAACCCTCTTCCGCAGTGGGAAGAGTTTAATTAAACATTTATTTTCTCCCGTTGCGGCTCTCCTCCCTCTCCAACGGTCGCTAGTGCGGGGCACGGCTCTGCCCTGCCCGACACAGGGAGGGGACGGATCCGAACCCTCCACATGCCCCCGCTCCCTCTCTTTGCAACGCGCGGTTTTCTGTGTGTTTAAGACACCCAGGGGCTGGCAGACACCAGCGGCTCCAGGAGGCTCCGGACCGCGTACACCAACACGCAGCTGCTGGAGCTGGAGAAGGAATTTCACTTCAACAAATACCTCTGCAGGCCCCGGCGAGTGGAGATCGCGGCTCTGCTCGACCTCACCGAGCGGCAAGTCAAGGTCTGGTTCCAGAACCGCCGGATGAAACACAAGAGGCAAACCCAGTACAAAGAAACCCTCGACGGGGATCTCGCCTACCCCAACCTGGACGAGGGCAGCGACCCGGCGGAGGAGGCTGAGGAGAGCCCGGCTTTCGGGCCGGCCCCGGAGCCCCCCGGGCACTACCGGAGCGCGGAGCCGGGCAGCGAGGAGCCGGAGAGCCCGCGGCTGGCGGGGCCCGGGGGGGAGCCGGGGGCCGGGGGGGACCCCGGGGCCACCGCCGGCCCCTCGGACCGCGCCTTCCCCGAGGGCCAGGACTCGCCTTTGTTGCCAGAGCTGAGTATCTTCTCGGCAGAGTCCTGCCTGCAGCTCTCCGAAGGGCTTTCCCCCGGTCTCCAAGGCTCCCTGGAGAGCCCCGTCCACTTCTCCGAGGAAGACCTGGACTTTTTTACAAGCGCACTTTGTACTATAGATTTGCAACATTTAAATTTCCACTAGCGACCCCCGCCCGCCTCGCCGATTCTGCCCCTTCCAGGAGCACCACCCCCATCCCGAGCCACTGCCAGCTCCCCCCAGCCTCCTGAAAAGGGACACACACACCCCCCCAAAAATAAACCCAAGCCATCTCTTATTCAATCACCCCATCCCGCCCCCCCCCCCCATTTTCTTTTAAGCTTCTCACACTGTAGGACCCGAATCACCCTCCCAATATTTATTGTAGAAGGCTCACATGAAAGAACAGCCCGATTTTTGCTAAATGCAGGTATTTAATTATAGTTTTATTTTTTCCTTATTTATTTTAAAGAAAGCACCCGGTGGTTCTCACGCACATCAGAGATATCAGCCCCCAAGAGAAAACATTTGTAAATCCTTCAAGCAACTTTCTCAGGAATCAGAACGAGACTTTTAGATTTCTTAATAAAATAAAATTTAAAGAAAAACAGAGGAATTTTCCTTCCTCTTTTTAAGTTTTAGATGTAGACTATTTATTCAAATCCTTTAATAGTAAATGGCAAATTATTTATTGTACATTATTTTCATAGAGTAAATAAATGTCTTTATAAAACCAAGAAACGTGTGTTGCTGAATATTTCATTCGAAAATGTGCTAGTTTTGGCCTAAATCATTCGCCTTCCTCTTTCCTGCTTTGCAGTAATGATGTCCTAATAACCTCCTCGTGTGCATTGAGAGAGGAGACAAAAGGAATTGCTCCCAACTAACATTTCAAGAGGCTTCGGGAGTCAGAAATTCAGTTCTGTTTGCATTTTCCTTGAGCTTGGTTTTTATTTATTTTACTTTTTACTAAATCAAAGCAGGACATTTGTTTCTAATTTGAGCATTTGCGGTTATATTTTTGTCACTGAAAATCCCTCCTGTAAGGAAATTGCCGAATAAAGGGATACAAAGCAACACAAAGGCAGCGCTCGGAGAGGCGCTGGGGCCGCGCCGGGGGCCGCAGCCGCTCCGCGGAGCCCCCGCACATTCCGCGGCCCGCGCTGTGGGCGGTGCGGCCGCGCAGTTTCCCGCGGCGATCCCCCCTTCTCCCCCATCCCGGCTTGGCAAGGCGAGCTCTGCTTCTTGCCTTCAGCCCCCTGCTCCTTCTCTCATCTCTTGCAGCAGAAAATAGAGACGTGCCACATCGCAATTCTTGGTGTTTTAAACGTCCCGGACTACAGGAAAAAAAAAAAAAAAAAAGGCGGAAAGGGAGGATTTTGAATAGGTGCAAAAAATCCACCCTGGGAGGATGGTGGGTGCCGGTATTTTAATCAACAAATAATTGTTATAGAAGAAAGGGCTAAGAGATTAGCCTGAAAGAAGCCTTTCCTTTTTCCCCTCTTTTTTAGCAGTACAAACCAGAACTCCCTCGGCCTTTTAAATCTGTGAGCTCCTTCCACGACTAGTTGTGCTGCTCTGTCCCGGCTCGCGGATCCCTTTACGAAAGCTTTCTCACAACATGTAATTTTAAATCCAAAACTCATATATCAGGGAGGGTGAGGAGGGGGGGCGGTGGGGAGGTTTATGAATGAAAAGGGGTCAGCGCAGGAATCAATCGCGGTGACACCCAAAATAAATCATATTACGTCTTTGCTAAGTCATTGGTGTTTCCTCAGACACGGCAGAAATTTGGTAGGCGTTCAAGCGGGGTTTCTGCGAAAGTAACGCGGAAAGAGGAGCCCGGGGGGGCGGCGTGGGGCAGGGAGCGAGCGGCCGGGGCGGGGGGGAGGGTATGGAAACCCGCGGAGGCGGCCTTAAAATGGAGCAGGGAAACGCGGAGAGGAGCGGAGCAGCCATGATAAGCGGCGTTGCCCCTCCAGCCCCTTTCTTTAGGGTGAGGGCAGGGGAAGGCGCAGCCCGGGCCCCCCGCCCGGCTCCTCCGGTCCGCGGGCCGTGGGGGGAGCGCAGCCGCGCCCCGCGGGACCCCGGCCTTTCGGGGGGGCTCTCCCCGGGGCTGCCGACTCCCCCCGCAGAGAGCGGGGCTGTTGGAGGGTCTGCTGGGTGCCTGGAGGTTGCCTGGGTGTTGTCATCCTCCCCCCGGAGCCCCTGGGTAAAGCAGGGAGCCCGGGAAACTTCCGCGTGGTCGCCTGATATTTTATTTCGGATTAAGAGCATCAGAGCCGGGCTTGCTTTCTACTTCGGGCTGTAAAAAGAAATAAAATGAAATAAAGAAAGCCCTCGACAGATGTTTTCGAAATTGCTCTTCGCAGATCTGGATTATCTCTTCCCGCTGTAACAAAGGGGGGTTGATTTTACGGCTACCTTTTTATTCTTAATAATATTGCCAGCCTCTTTCCCTTCCAAACGAGCAGACGTTTCAAGCCTGCTAGCATCTCACTCCGGGAAGGAGTAGGTTTGTATTGAAAATCGAAGTAGATTGCAATTAAAATATGCAAGTGAACATTACTTAACACCTTCCCATAAATAAAAGGAAGCGTCTAGTGCATAGTTTGCACTGCCTGCAGACGAGTTGCCTTCGCATCCCAGCCTAGGAGTCATCATCCCCCCCCCATCGCGCTGCCCTCTCTCAACAGATTTCTCTCTGCTCTGAAAGTCCCAGAGCCATGCGAGGGGAAAGAAAGCCCAGGCGCAGCCCAAGTACCACAGAAGGCTATTCATTATCTTTAAGTTTATTTAATATCTCCAGCTTCTGGAACATACTCTGCGGCAACGTTGGCACCGCCAGACGTTGTCTATCAAAGCGCCATTTGTTCCAGTGCTTTACATATTTCCCCTCTCTTCTCCTCCCCCTCGCAAGCCTGAATACAGGCTTGTTGGGGGCCGGCAGGAGCAGGGAATCAGATGGTCGGGGCTGGCCCAGGCCAAGAGCCCCGAGAGCTGCCGGGGAGCTCCGGGCCGAGGCGGCAGAGCCGGGGGCCACCCGGTCCCCGGGGCCACCCAGCTCTGCCCGGTCCCCGGGGCCACCCAGCTCTGCCCGGTCCCTCGGGCCACCCAGCTCTGCCCGGTCCCCGGGGCCGCTCCGCGCCGTTCTGGTTCGGATGATGGATCTGCGCACCCCCTTTTGCTCCTCCAGAGAAAGGAGCTTCTTATTCAACTTCAAAAGAACGGGCACATAGAGTGATCTCTTCGCAGCTCGATCTCGCAGCGGATTTCCACAAACACACACGCCCTTTCCGTGGGGAAGTGAGGAGGGGAAGGAAGAGGCGGAGGGGAGGGGACAACGGGGGCACCGTCCTCTGCAGGGTCCCCCCTTTCCCGGGGCTGGGAGGGGGCGGCCTCCCCCCGCCCCACGAAGGAGGCAGCGCTGGGGTGGGAAGGGGGCGGGGAAGAGGTTTCCACGAGCCCCCCAACGTAAACCCTGACACCTTATCAATACAAATCTCTAACAAGAGCCCTTCTGCAGATCATAATGACTTCTCAAAGTTGCTGCAGGTCTAGAAAGCATGCCAGTCACAGCCACAGATCAATTCTACACCCACGGAAAGTGACTTAATAAATGGAACCTCGCCAGTTATTATCCTTGCTAACAGCAGGCCCCTTCTTATTTGTCCTAATTAGCAAGACTGAAATGTCGGAGGAAAGAAGGGGAATATTCAATAAAATCTAAATTATTGAATGACTGTAAGATTTCGCCATTAGTTCAGCTATTCTTTACCTTCTTCAAAATGTCAAACAAATGGGGAATGCATATTTGCAACCCTGCCCTTCTGTTCTGTGCAACTGGAGGGCATATATTAAGCATATTAAGCGTATTCAGCTCTTGATCGTTGTCAAAACACTGCAATTGCCTCACGATTATTAACCTAGAAATATGCAAATGAGATACGCTCGCACGTGTTGTAGGGATGCTAAAGTAATATTTATCTTGTGCTGATCTAGTCTGGGGATGTGTTTGCTAAAGAGCTACTCGAAGCCCTAAAGATGTTGAACCAACCCGTTAGAGCCATGGGAAGGCTCAAAGTGGAAAACGTGTGAAGGAAATGCCTGTGAGACAGCGAGGCAGGAGTTGAGCCTTTGAGGTGTTAAGTGGGAAGAGTTAACTTCTGCTGAGGAATCTTTCGACCTTCCTCCTGAGCTGCCGTGCCAGACTCCGGCTTTCCGGGAATATCCCTCCAGTGACGGTTTTCCCAGCTGAGCTGTAGCATCCTTTTCCAGCCCGTAACCGCATCCCAGTCCTCTGTGGCCAGAGCCTGAAGAACGCTCCTAAGGCTCCACCTCCGTCCAAGAAAGGAGCTGGCAGAGGGAATCACCTTCTACTCGCCATCCTGGCACCTCCCGCGTCTATCCCAGCTTTGCCGGTTATTTTTTTCTCTCTTTATATATACATCGAAAGAGTGCCGGGTCCGGAGAAACTAATTTAAGAATCGCTGCAGTTCGGCCAGGTGAATCTAGTTTTCAACCCCAGCGGGACATTGTTTAAACTAACGCTGGTTGATATCAATAATGCTGGCTTACTAATATTAGCAACGTTGATGAAGTTGTTAATAAATTCATGCACTTCTTGAAGGGCGGGTTTAGGTGGAGCTAGCCCACGCCGGGCCTGCCAGGTGCTGGATCTGAATGAAACGCGGAGGGTTTGGGACCCTTCTGGTTCAGTGCCGGCCCTGCAATCCCCTGGAGCTGCGCGGGGCCGGCGCTGAGCCCAGAGGCCCGGGTGAGGGTCCCTCGGGTTCGTCGAGCTGTCCCGGGGGAAGGCAGGGACCGCCTGGAGAGGGCTCGGCCGGGGTGAGGAGCCCGTAGGGGCTGCCCGCTACGAGAAGGAGCACCGCTGTGCAGTGCACGGGAAGAGCAGATAGAGACCTCTCCTCTCCACTCTCACCGAGTAGAAAGGCTTAAAAGAACCTCATTAGTGAGACGGCCCGGCTTACTGACACACCCCTGCCCTGGGGACCACGTAGAAATAGCCGATGTGATTCACAAGAAACAGGGCAGGTTCCCCAGAGCCGTCAGAGACCAACATTTGATCTTTTGGCGCAGGAGGAGGCGGGGTTTGCTGTCTCTGTGCCACCCTCAAAAGAAAAAAAAAATATCGAAAGAGGCATTTCTCATCCAAATCTTCCACGGAGAGTGTTGGGCAGGAGACCGAGAACACAAACCGTGTCCCCCCCTCCGGGGGATGCTGAGCACCTGGGG